AGAGGAGAGCACGCCCTGTTAGGTCATTGGACGCTGCTACTGCGGCGCATTGCCACTTGCCAGAGTTATTCTTGTTCAAAGCAGCCATTGTAGGAGCCACGGGCCTGATTCAAGTAAAATGAGAGATAGAGATGTACTAGATATGAAGATGAGAGCAGGTGATATGTGACAATGAGCCACGTCGCTGGTGGTGACGCCGCAGTTAGCGCTCGCGGAGTTTCAATTCGAGGAACGGGCGAAATTTCGCGTTGGCAGTCGCGATCGCCCGACGTCTTCCACACATGCATATCAAGAACCTCAAAGTCAGACCGCGCAAAAGTGTGTCAACATACGCATATATTCTGCCGCTCTTACTGACCACCCTTCAGACGCGACGCCAAGCATCTGCTCAGCGCAGTTGACAGCTATGCTGGGCTGTATGGCGGCGACGGGGGACTTGCACACGACGACAACATGTGCAGACGCAGCCTCACAGCTGTTTAATTGCATGCGAACCACGGTGCGTGCCCTTCTCTCGTGTCTTAGGCCCAAGAGCTGACAGAATTGTGTCTCAGTCCATACCTGGCAAGCGACCACGCTCCTCAATTAACTACCATCTCGCACGGCTGGGCAAGACCCTCAAATAGACCTATTGTATATTCCGCTATTCATAATCCTTTTTTGCTGGACTGAGATTTGGGAATGACCGCTTCGTGGAGAGCGGTTGGGTTGCCATTTGCTGTGTTGTGGGACTAAATGGAAGGTGCGTTTGGCTTGTTTTAATTGCTTCAATCTATATGGGTTCTTCCGACAGCCCGATGCTTGGACCTCGCTGCAGCATTGCCTTTCAGTCAGCTCTTTGATCCCCGCCCTGGAAGACACCCCATTTCTGTCTGAATGGGCAAATTGTGAACCAAGAGCGCCCCTTCCGAGATGTTATATCTGTCACCATGCTTCTTTTGTGCCTTTCTTTCCCAGGAGCTGCATCTTGTTATCCAATCTCCGGATTTGTCAGTGAATCATCTGGCTACTGTCATGAGAAGTTGTGGCTTCCTGATAATTCGAAGCAGTATCTTCAACAACCAATGTTCGAAAGCGCAAGTCTCAACTTTGTGCTTTTGTATATTCACCTTACTACCCATGACCCTTTTAACATTACGCAGCGCAACGGCTGGCTGCACATCGTCATATCAGCTTCTATGTCGAGGACTGGTTACGAAACCTAAAGTCGGGATATTCTGGGATTTTGGTAAGCAAAAATAGGTGGAGTGGATTGTCAATGCTGACTCGCTCCCGCCAGAGAATTTTCCTATACCTTCAAAGGCTACAGTTCCCAACACAGTCTCCTGCCTCCAGAACGTCGGCGAGGGCTACGGCTTGGTGGACACCTGGCGTGCATATTCGGACCTCACCTTATGCTCTTCGGCAACCTGGGCAGCGATGAGTGCCTCAGGAGTGACTCTAACCAACTGTCCGCATAAGGGACAGCAACAGGTTGTAGATGGCGTCCTAATGGGTGAATATCATAGTTCCCTGTCTCCGCTCATCATACCTAAAGAACGCTATTCGTGCAGGTGATATGGAACTTTGGGCCAAAGATACACCGGCACCTGCAACAATTATTTTGATATCAGGGGATGGAGGGTACACACCAATGGTCTGCGCTCTCAAATTGCGAGGATATCATATGGTGGTTATTGCGTCCGCGGGCCGTGCTAGCTCGAAATTGGCGAAGAGCGCCTCGGAATTCTTAGACTGGGGTAGTCATGCATGTGCACACATCGGCAAGAATCTCTCATAGTTTGACCCAAACGAAATGCGAGCACTGACATCTACTCCAATGATCTCCATCGCTTCCACCCAACCTGATGTAGCCTCATCCCGTACGGCACAGGCAGCGTCCGTCGAGGTGTCTTCGAAATCAAAGGTTTGTTCACAGCCACTTTGCGCCTCTTCCTATCACTTACCCAATATCAAATCGTAGGACTCCACGGCTACACAAGGCACCAGGATCTCTCGCCGAGGAGGGCGCGGAAAGGAAGCACCGGTACCCGTATCTCCAGCCCTGCCCCCGTCACCATTTCAACCGCTTCTCATAGCCTTGAAACAGGCGCGAGACGAAGGAAATTCCCGCCCTATGAGAACCAACATAGCACTACAAGTGCTGGAGCTCGATCCTTTGGCATACTTGAACGCCGGAGTAGGTAGTTGGAAGGTGTATGCGAAAAGCGCCGAGGAGGCCGGACTGGTCCAACTCGGGATTCGGGATCGTAGCAGTGCATGGATTGCCCTTCGGAGCTGAGAGCTACGGTCCGTATACCCTTTCTTCGAAATGACTGGCATTGATTTTGATTTTACTCCTTCAGTCTGCACCATTCGTTAACCGTATATGTCAGTCCGCGTGCTCTCTATTACGATTGACCTGACTGAAATGCTGTTGTCCTCAGAAAAACAACATTTTGATTTACTGCAGCCCGCTGGAATATTACTCAATACCATTTGCTGTGTTATCGGTTTCTCGCAACGTGGCTGAAGCTTTTGCATCACGTATCAGATATGGTAAATTTTCGGACATTCGAAGCAGCTGCCACCACCCTTGCAACGCGAATAAGGCGTGGCTTCCAACACGCCTCCAAACTTCATCCAAAATGGGGCTGTGTGTCCCTAAACTGACAATGTGGGAACATCGGCATGCAGCCTGTTGACGCAAGGTCCTCGCGGGACCACTTCTGAGGACCACTCTCTGCTATCTACTATGGCGACCAGAGAGTCTGTCGCTATTTTCTGGGATTATGGTACGACGATCTATAAACTGCCTGGCTGTCATTTTGTGCTCATGCTATTATATGACAGAAAACTTGAATCCCTCTCATACTCACTCTGGATTTGAGATTGTCAGGAACATACGGGAGATTGCCCACCAGTATGGAGACGTGAAAATCTTCAAGGCATATCAAGAGTGCACTACTGGTGCAAAAAATCAGAGGTTACGCTCGGAGTTCCAGTGCGCTGGAGTATCTCTTACCGATTGCCCACACAACGGGGGGAAGGAGGTCGCTGATAGGATGTTGGCAGGTGTGTGTTGTTGTACTACTGTCCACTAAATTCAATTTGACTTTGACGGCAGCTGATATGCTTGCTTTTGCGATCGACGTCCCTGCGCCCGCGACGATCATCCTTATTACCAATGATCGTGACTTCGTTTACGCTGTATCTCTACTGCGGCTCCGACAGTACCGCGTAATTCTCGTGGGGACTTCTCGAGGGTCAGCAAGCCTCAAAGCGCAAGCTTCAGTTTGGTTAGATTGGGTTGCCGAGGTCACCGAGAAGTGTGCACGACGACCTGAATCTTCGGCACGAGGCAGTCCCGGTACAAGTAACCTCAATCCAGCAGCTATGTCACTGCCAACTCCTCCCCCTTCGCCGACACGAGCTGTACACAGTACACGGCCGGCCACTGCGACTTCTTACTTTGCTGAGAACGCTGTCGACGCGATCATGGAAACAATCACTGAAACCCGTCTTCCACCACTCGGCATTCCTGAAATCCGTGCTGCCGCTAGCACCTCAACGCAGCACACACATATTAGCGAGGCTCCCTCGGCCATGCCGGAGGACGAGCTGCAGACCACCATCTCGCCCTTTTCGCATGTGTCTGCAGAACCAGAGAACCCCAGTACTGCTCAGGCTGAAGTTTATCAAGACCGCGTCGCTTCGGGTGCTGCTGTCCGACATGCGGCGAAGAAAGCGCGGAAGAATGTTTGGGCTGCATGCAGCCGCATCGCCTCTTCACTTCGGTTGCCCATGAAGCGCCGTGCACCTGGCCAGCAGTCTTTACCTTGCACTTCTCCCATCGCCTCTCCTGCTGAGGAAGTCACTGCTGAAGAACCCACCGCGGCTGCAACAGTCGAAACCATCGAAATACATGCAACAACCAACGAAGCGCAAGTTCCTGCTGCCAGTGCTACGAGTGCTACGGCCGACGCTGAGTGGGCATACGAAGTGCTTCCCGCTACGACCTTGGAAATCGACGTCTTGCCCACAAGGCCTCCATCACCAAGCCCTGTGCAAGTGGCAGGATGTGAGATACCCGAAGGGACTGCCACACCATCTGAAGCGTCTGTTTCGGAACCTGCAACGAATGTCATTGCGGTCGCCACCTTGCCACAATGTACACAAGCGGTTCATGAAGAACATGCACCTGTCACTCCCGCGGCGTCTGTCGTCGCCCTTCCTTCGAGTTCTCTCGGTCGCTCATTGCCAGCGGTGCCTCGCTCTCCTACTCGACCAGTACCCACTCAGTTTTCAGTTTTAGTGGCGGTCCTTCGGGAAGAACGGCGCAAGGGCAATCTGCGCGTCAACCAATCTACGTTGGCGCACGCCATTTATGCTGCTGATTCTCGGATCTATAAGCGAGCAGGTATCAGCGGCCCTCACTCATCCAGGCAGCTCTTGGCATTGGCGGTCACCGCGGGAGTGGTGACATGCACCGGTAACACGAAAAAGAGCAAATTTGTTGCCCTTGCTGATAAGTATGTCTAGTATCATGCTATGAATTCTCGACTACTACATTCTTGTTATGTATTGCCCTACGGTGCCTATTTTCATACTCATATATTTCTTATGTATATATCAGTGAGAAATGAGGTATATCTCCTGCTGGAAAATGATTCCTAAAAGCTCACCCATACTTCAATTAAAGTACAAAAAAGAGCTCAAAAACCGTCGCCTGAGCGATTCGATGAACGCAGCATTCTTGGAAGAGTTGAAATATCGCATGCCAGAGGCCCGTGGACTTCTCAACCCCGAGAGCACTGTAAAGCAACTACAGACTGTCGCATACAAAGCCTGCCTGAGCCGACTTCTTCTCGGCCTTTACACGAGATGCTCTGGATATCATGGATACGACAGCTGAATAGGAGTGCGAATTATATTATTTGCAGGATTTTTCGTGGCGAAGCGTGGGTATCTGGCGCTATCTGCCGGCGCTAGTCAATACTGCAAAATAAATGCAAAAAGAGCGTCGCCTGAGCGATTCGAACACTCGCGCACAATGTGCAACCGCTGGCAATATAATATAGCAGGCGATCCCGTTAACCACTCCGGCAAAGCGACATACAATCATTAATGAAAGGAATGGATTATTAGACACGCTCGAGGGGATGCCAGTGGTTGTAGATTGACCCGGATCGGTGCACATATCATACCAGTCACATGACTTGTCGATCTAAGTCTTAGTCACAGGCTGGCACTCCCCCACCTTCGCCAAGCACGATGAGCACTCCCAACCTCTGGTCCGAGACGCCTGTCATCCGCTCGACACACATATCAGGGATCCTCAACTGCTCTGCCTACCTGAAACTCGAAGTCTGTTTCTCAGACTCCCCCAGCTCATGCACAGGCTAATTGAGACCCGTGCACTGGCAGAACCTCCACCCCTCCCAATCCTTCAAGTATCGCGGCCTCTCCTTCTTTGCCCAGCGTTGTCTCGCCGCGCACGGACCATCTGTGCATCTTATCATCGCGTCGGGCGGCAACGCAGCTCTCGCTGTCGCTTGCGCTGCGCAAGTCCTCAAAGTGCAGTGCACGGTGTTCATTACGGAGGGACCAAGCCCCGCAATACTCGCGTTCCTCGAGCAACAGGGTGCAAAAGTCATTATTCATGGCAAGTACTATGCCAGCACGCTCGCACGCGCAGAGGAAGCCGTTAGGGCCGATGAAAACGCGTGAGTCCTAGCCCCCAGTGACAAAGATGAAATCGATCGCGCAACTGGCAGGGTGATGGTTCCGGCGTACGACGACCCAGTGGTCTGGGAGGGCCATGCATCAATGATCGCAGAGATGCAGACTCAGCTTCCTAGAAAGCCGGATGCCATTGTCTGCAGCGTCGGTGGGGGTGGACTCCTTGGCGGTGTCCTCGTCGGGTGCGCCAATGTAGGCTGGGACGATGGTGCGGCCCCATCTTGAACCCTGGTATATCACACTTAACCACCTGCAGTTCCCGTGGTGGGAGTGGAGACGCACGGCGCAAATTGTTTCTACGAGTCCGTTGGGCTTAATCCTGGAAAATGGAATGCAGCAGCACACCTCCCTGCGCACGTCGAGAAGATACACGACCCAAACGAAGATGTCGCACTTGCGCGGCTCTCAGAGCTGTCCTCTCGTGCAACCTCGCTCGCCGCCTCGTGCCCCACGGCTGGTGTCGTACGCCGCGCGCTTGATCGTACGGGTCCAGTCCAAAGCGTGTGCATACCGGACGAGATGGCCATGCACGCCGTGTGCGCGTTTGCAGGTGAGCTCGCACTCTTGGGTTCCGACTCCTGACACCGCGCGAGGTACTTACCCAGGTATGCATTGCAGAGGACCACAAGACTCTGGTGGAACTTGCGTGCGGCGTGACTCTCGCTGTTGCATACAACCCATCACTTCTCCATGCTGCCCTGCCCTCGCTGCCACAAGACGCACTCATCGTATTCGTCGTGTGTGGCGGATTTAAGATCTCACTCGTTGAACTTGCGGAGTACTCCGCAATCCCGAGGAGCAAGTGGGAAGTGGTGTGCAATGGAGAGATGGCGATCATCAATGACTAAACGTCAAGCTTGGAAAAAAGAGGAGAGAAAGGTCATTAGATAGCTAGCAATACAATACTCTTTAGAACCAGATGCAGACCAGGACGGAGACTGTACCGTGGGTGTCAGTGTGACATGGTTCGAAGAGCTAGAGCACTACTCACCAGTGTCAGAACGCTCGCTCTTCCTACTCCAATCCAGATGGTTTCATACTGGTTTTGTGTCACCTGCTCCGCCACTCTCGAGCTCAGCCTTCTTCGCACGTCGCTCGGCTTTGATGCGCGCAAGCGCTTCGCGCAACTCGCTACTCTCTGTCGGCACGACCTGCTCGCCAGGTTAGCACTGATAAGGGATCTTGAACAATGGTCGCAAATTATTCACTCGATAAGTCTTCTCCGGCGCAGGGAACAGTTTCGCTTGATACTACCCGACTCAGACCCGTCAGCACAAGTCTCTCTCATCCCGGGCGACGCGCAAAGCTCTCAAATCGACAGACAAGACTCACAGGAAGGACGTGTGCGCGATACCACTCGGGATCGCCAAAGTGCAACAGCGCAAACACAGGCACGAAGAGGTAGAGCCCGAATTTTGCGACTTCGAGGTTCGCTCCGCCCATGGCTGTCGTGGATAGCGTGACAAGAATTTAGCGCCCACTGCAGCTGGTGGCATCGTCTGCCTGCTTCACATTTTCTTGCCTTTGCGTAAATCACGATTCATTTGCGCCCAATCCAATCTTGCAAGATAAATCCACACTTTGTACACGAGCACATAAATAACAACAGACTATCTGAAAAGTTCTTCATATGGCGTGGTGCTGTATCGTTCTCCCACTTCCTGCGCTCGTGACTGTGGTCCGTATTGCAAGAAGATCAGGGAATGTCTGTGAAGAAAAGGGCACTGAAGGGACTACTCGGATGTCTGCTCTATTTCCAAGAATATTCTTGATCCCCTCAAGATCTCCGACAGCCAGTGATCTTGAGTTTTCTTCGATGTAAATGTGCAACGACTGCAATACTGCCCCGCGCTGAGCATCGACATTCTCTATCGTTCTCGATCGTATCATGGAGGAAAAGGCACCGGGATCCATGTCAATCTCTCCTATGAGACTGAGAACGCGCAAATTGGGCAGCAATGCGCCGTAGCGGTTGCTATTCATGACACGCGGAAAGAATGAAAGCCTTGTGAGCAGCCAGTTCCTGTAAATAGGACGTGTGGCGCCTACAGGCTTTGGTCCACAATCGATTTGGAGCTCTGTCAAGGAATGCACGGCCTCAAGGACAATATATAGATCGTTGGTCGGGATATAATCTGCCGACAAAACGAGTTTCTGCAATCCGGTCGATTCGGAGAGAAATGGTGCGAGAAGCGCTGGTACTCGGGATATCTGTAACATTTTGAGCCTAAATTGCAGCAGCGAAGGGAGTTTGACACTATGAAAGAAAAAATTAGCGACGTCGTCGTCACTAACAGCGATATCGATGGCCTGAAGATGGTGGCGCACGAGGTCTGTCGGTGCACCTTCGTACAACAGAATCTGGCATCGAAGGAGATTTGGACATTTTCGCAGCAGCCGAGCGCAGCCTGCGATATCCGCGTCCATTGGATAGAATTGCTCGAGCTGGTGCCAGGGAAGTTTGATATCATAGTCCTCAGTACCCATCATTCCTTGGCTGAGCCTGACAAGTCGGAGTTTCGGAGAGGCCTCAAACATGGTAACAATGTTGTCCGTTTCGCCGATGGGCCAATCTGGAAACCATTTCTCCAACATCTCAAGCTTTTCGAGCCTCGGCAGCGACCACGGTGTCCTCTGCGAGAGTGCTTGTTGTAGCCACAACATGAATCCCCGAGGAGCTAGTATGCAGAAATTCTGCCAACGTTCCACTGAAGCGGCGAGCGCCTCGACCAATGGCTGACAAAGCTCCAGATCAGAGACAGACATTCGATTTTCTGGCCAAAAACCAACTGGGTGAGGTTTGAGAGCGATAGCGATTTGAAGTGAGAATGACCCCGAGCGTGCGTTGAAGAGGCGTACATGATCAGCTGCAGCGGCAAATTGCAAGGAGCGATGGACAGTGAGACTGATTCTAGTCCATAGCGAAGGGGCAGAATCTATAACTGCCCGCCATCTTTTGCATATACTTCCGAGGAAGATGGGTGCTGGCTGCATCGAATAGATCTGTATGTCGTTCAAATCCGGATCTGCTGACTGTCCACGATACTCCATCGCTGCCTCATATGCCGTGAAGATCTCGACCAAGATCTCCTCAGGGACTGATGTGATAGCCTCAGATGAGCCATCACGCATGTTGACTATCAAATGACAATAACCAGTTATTGAATATACACCTGCGTCTGAGGAGGTGGTACATACCGGAAGCCGACGCAGGAGGCAAGTGGCAGGTGTGTTATATAGCAATCGAAAGATGATATCTATGTGACCGGTGCAGGTTGGTCCTGAGAATCGCGTATTAGAGGATGACGGTCAGAAAAGGAATTCAAATGGGGCAAGTTTGGGCGACGGACACAAACAAAACACGATCACGTGCGTGGCGATACATAAATTCTCCAATAATAAAGTCATACGAGTAAAGAAGCTTCACGCAGTAACAAGCAGCCATATTGAATGCTGGAATATTGAATAAATCGGGAGACACGGACGACTACTTTGCCGTGCGCCTACGAGACACGGACGATAACTTTCCCGCGCACCCTTCCTGACATGACCCGTGCATACGCTGCCATAACCCCTGCCTTATCAAAGCCATGCACGGAGTCCACATCCACTCTTAGCGTTCCTACAAAACATTAGCTCACATAGCCAGTCACATGAGAGCAACATCGGCGTACCTGCTTCGGCCCACCCTGCCAGTTCATGCAGCTCGCGCTCCAGCGATTCATTTTCAGCGATCCGCACACCACAGAGCTTGAATGTCCTGGGCACGCCGCCAGCCCACGCCGGCCACCACCTCGCACAGGCTAGGCGCCACAATGTAACAGGAACGCCTGCGCTGCTGTCCAGTCCGGGCTGCACATAGCTCCCGTCGGGGCGAAGATACGAAGGGGAATGGTTGAACACCATGGGGTCAGCGCCGATGCAGTCTACGATAAGGTCAAAAGCGAGCGGCGATGGACTGGACTTGTTGTATGGATAACCACGAGCGAGTTGAAGGTGCAGAGGGGACGCGGTGTAGTCCACGATCTATGTCATTCAATTAGTACCAATTCAGGGGGCACCTTCATCGTATACGCACTTCGTCGGGTCCAAGGGCACGCACTCCATCGGCGCTGCCGGCCGAACAGCTTGCTACGACATGCGCCCCAGCATTCTTTGCCATCTGGAGAGCCGCGCGGCCCAAGGCCGTGCTTGCTCCGGCGATGAACACGCGCATGTCCTGCTTTGGACGCGTATCAAAGGAGAACATCGCGCGCGAAGCGGTGATGCCAGACGCTGGGAGACTAGCGGCCGTTTCCCATGAAAGTGTAGTTGGCTTGAGAGTGGCGTGAATTTCCTGGAAGAAATCAGCAATGGAGAAATGGAACAAAGAC